CCTCGCGCAAGGGGGATGATTGCACTACGTTGTGTCAAATTGGTCAAGCGCCCTCGAGGCAGTTACACAGTGCTTACAACTGTTTCTGGNACGGCGCTTTGCGCTTGGTGATGTGAGAGCCTGGTCCGGTGAGAACCCGGCGTGCTGGCTTTGTAGGGATGCGAGGTCAATGGACTAACGACCACGGCATGCACGACTATGAGTACCCCCCGCCCCTCTTCTGCTTTGGACAACACCACCACCCGACCCGACACCACCTGGCTACCTTACCATGCTGTGTAACACACGGTAGATCTTGACATCCTTGCATACATTCCACCGGAAGGACAGCCGATACCTGGGAGAGCTCTCCCGAGGCAGCCAGTCCGGTTGGACCCCCATGTGTACAGCTCGCCATCGGTGGTTACGGCGGCGCAGTGGTGCGACCCGCACCAGACCTTCCTCAGCAGCTGCTGCGTGGAGAGGAGCTTGGCCACGATCGCCGGCGTCGGCTGCACCTGCCGCGTGCCCAGCGCCAGCTGACCGTGGTATCCAGATCCCCACGTGTAGAGCTGTTTCCGAACCAACCCACACGCGCGGACACGTGACAGTTGAGGGTTTTATTGTCTGGGGTTGGTTCTCAAGATCCGGAAAAATGTACCCATGTATGCATAGAGTGATATGTACTTGCACCTGCATGAGAACGGCAACCTAGCGAGCGAGAAAGACATCAATTTCCTAGAGAAAGAGAAGAGAGAAGAGAGAAGAGAGAGAAAGAAAGGCATCCGCAATAAGACGTGCGTAAGCCAAGTCGTGTCAACGACCCCCAAACCGCACCCACACGGTCGTTCATCACCATCACCGGGAGGTCTACTCAGGGGTAAATCGGGCCAGGCATGGACATGATACGCGTGCTATGTTGGCGCGCCAGAGTCACATATTGGACTGGTTCTCACATATCCCCCGTCCTTGCATGGAGGGACCAAGACCAGTGCCGCACAATGCCACGTCCCACATTCCGCCTTCAGGGCACCGCACAGACACAGCAGACACAACGGCACATGCAAGGGGAGAGAAAGGGGCTCCGGGAGGGTCAGCCTAAGCGGCCCACGGTCGCGAAGGAAGAAGCGTGATGGCATCACCTGTTCTGATATTCTTGTGTTTTCATCTCTCGGGTCGGGTCGTACGCACGGCCAGGGCGCGACGGCAACGTGGCATACAAAGGAAGATTCCGATCCCTGCATTCTGATACAGGCAGCACGCAGGACGTAGTTAAGGTAGCCATAAACCACTCGTGCGGGAATTTGTCCGTAGCCCAACCCTCAACACGCCCCCCCCTACAGTACCCCCGCAGGCGAAAAGGAACAAGGAAATACAGGATTTCCTTGTGAAACCTAGGGCAGAGAGAAGACGCTTTCCCGATCGTAGGTGATGTCTGTTGAGACAGGAACGGTGCATCCTACGAAGAGAGGGATGGTGCCGGATGCTCGTTCAACGCCGTCAAATCGCCCAGCAAGGCGAACCAAAAGAGTTCCCCCTTGCACCACGCCAGGCAATGCCCCGACCACTCCAAGAGAGGAGTGGCACCTGTCACGCGGCCATTGAAGATTCCCCAAGAATACCAGAGGAACTCAAACTTGGAAGCTGCTCCTGAACGACTGAAACCGCAGTGCTCGTCAAAGCGGCGGAGCGTCGTGAGTGGTCTGAACGCTTCGATACTGAGCAATGTTCATCACCTGAAGCACCATGCTCCCCTTTAAGGCTTCGATCTGCACAGGAGTCTCTCGCGTGCGGGTATCTCCGTGCCCCAACACGCAGCCCTCGCCTGCCCCCCAAGACCAAACGTTCGCTGCCGTGACCGCTAAACAAAAGCTCGGCCCGCACGACACCTGCAGGCGAGGCGCATGTTGTAGCGGCGTCACAGGAAGGGCCCTCGGCCAAGGAAGTGAGTGGGGTATCTCGAGTTTGTTGTTTTCGGGGTACATTGCTTCTGACAGAGCGACGCATGCGCTTGGTTGTAGGGTGACTAGCTGCCGACAGATGTGCTCCGTGCTGGTCCGAACGCCCTGCGATCGGCACCACCTGCAGGTATCTGCACATGATAGGCCCGGGGTGAGCTATCAGACATGGCTCGTCCGAATGTGTTTGGGCTTCCAGCGAACAATACCCGTGAGATGATCTTCATATGTTTGGCCGGGTCGAGCAGAGGAAGATAGACGGAAAGGCAAAACTCGTGACCTGGCTGTCTTTGAGGGGCAGATCCTCCCCCCCACGACACAGAAACAAGGAAAATATTGTTCATGCCGTCTCAATGAACGACGGGGGCCCTCGGGTCACCCACCTCTCCAGTGGTATCCACGACAACCATCCATGTACTGTGGATCTACTCTGAACCTCACCAAGGATGTACGGCTATATACAACCTCCGACCCTGTGCCTCCCCCCCCGTGATGGCTATCTATGGCCCAACACCTACGTTTGGGGTAACTTGCCTGTCGAACGATCTCTTTGGAGAAGGTGTGGAGGAGCATTGGGGTGGGAAATATGTTCTTCTCAGATTGCGGCACCCCCACTCTCCAGCAAGCACCAACCCCCAGCCTCCCTCGATCTCCGTGGCCCCATGAATATACGCTCCCGGCCTTTGTCAAGACCAAAGAGTGGTTCTCTCCAACCGCAACCTGTGGAACGTGGGTGGTGACATGCTTCCAACGCTGAATCATTGATCATTGGTCGAAGGCGCTCCTAGAGTCGAGGAAGACAAACAATGCCGGGTTTAAGGACAAGTTCGGAGTGGTAAAACGAGTACTTCCAAGTAGTTATTCTGGCAACGGAAGCAGGATCTAGAGAGGCCATACGATCCACGGTTCACCTCCCCAAGGGATTGATGGAAAAAATACGAAATGTCTCAGGAGGCACACGGACAACGTATGGTTAGGTTAGTTTAAGGTTTCAGGGTTGGGTCTAACGAACAAGCAAAGTTGGTGGGCCACAACAATGACTCTCAAGAACGTCTGAATACCTTGGTCGTCGGAGAAAGCTCGGCCTCGGTCGAGGCTTGGAACACAAGCAGGTTGTGCAGCACCACGATTGCCTGAGTGCGCTACTTGGAACACGTGCCGTATGGTGTTCGCCACGCCTGCATAACGAACGTGTGCTCCGCGCCTGGCCGAAGTGTTGGCAACTCTCACCTGCGACACCTCCGTTCCTTCTGGAAAGCGTGCATTGAGAATCGGGATCTGCTTTGACTCACGGTCCCCGAGCCCCAGCTGTCCGGATTCCCCCCTCCCCCAAACGTACAGATCACCCCCCATCGACGCCGCAAGACAGTGACTAGAGCCCGCCTGTACCTGAAATTGGCATCGAGGTGTGAATGAGGGGATAAGGTGGGGGGAGCACACGGCTCGGAAAACACATCCACCCCGCCACGGTATATATTGCGGCATGCACCGTTTGCTTTGCTATCTGAAAAACAGTGTTGAAATTCCTCATTTACCGCACGTATTCAGCAGAGGCAGAAACACAACTTAGGCCGTGGTCACCTGGCAGATTTCCTCGCCCACCAGATCGCGGATGGGTCGGGGCTCCATGTACAAGTCCTCGTCGTCATCGTCGAAAGCTCCCGTGCCTAACCGGTGTCCTGTAGCCCCGATCCCCTTGGCACCCCACGACAACACATCGTGATCTTCCGTTACCGCAAACGATGTGTCGTACCCCTGACACGGAGAAGGGGTCCACACAAAAAGCAAAAACGTCCCAAGGTCAAGCGGGGCGACTGCGGCTGGCCTACGATAATGTCCGCAAACAGTTGCACTCTCGGCAGTGTGAAATGGGAGCATCTGCCTCCCCGGAGCCTCTCCTCTTGTGCCTCGGCTCCTGTGAACGAAAGGCTTGCAACTGCTACGAGCGGTTCTATCACAGCAGAAGAGAACAAGCTGTTTGTCCCAAACGAGAACGGCTTGCCCAATCGACGGCGCTACCCACGCCACTCACGGCTGCCACGAAGGAAACCCCCGCCCCTCTCGTCTCGCGCACCACCTCGAATCGATCCCGGGGTGCCAAATCCCCCAAGCCGAGCTGCCCGCTGGAGTTTACCCCGGCAACGTACACCGCTGAGCTCCTCAGGGAAAAAGCAAGACCACCCCAGGCGAAGCCACGGGTGTTTGATGGTCCCGACATCAGACCGACCACGTCATTTAATACGCCAGCCGGTCAGCAGGGTTGGTGCCCACCATTGAGAACACAAACACACAAAGCTACGCACACGGGCATCTTCTGATGGTCAGCCTCCAAAGCGATGCTAGTGAAACACGAAGACTCACAGAAACGCACACACACAACACTGAGACTGACATCTTTGCAGTGGTCAGCCCGTTCGCGCGGTTGATGCTAATACTAACAATAACAACACGTACACACGCATAGAAGTCGGATAGAGAGCAACCCCGCACAGGGCAACGGTGCTAGAAATAAATGATGCAGCAGCAACACTCCTCGGTACTCCGAGTCTCCTCCTTGTACTTCAAAAGAAAGACACTGTCGGGCAACTCTCGCGCCTCCCCCTGTCTGCAGAACTCTCGGGCTAGATCGCGATATTGTGCTTGTTTTCCCGGAGTGACTGACGTCTTTTCATCGGTCAGTCGGTTAGCGCGGTCGATGCCAACTAAAGACCACACCAACACACACACACAACTCCCGATGTCAGTGACGGACAGGTGCACCCCCGGTGAATGGAAACGACAGAAACTCTACTTAATCTCAAAGCAGTGTCAAGTTTTTTTTTTTACGACTGGTGAGCGACGTCGGAGCTACAATCGACGCATACGATAAGGAGCTTAGGACAGGCAGGGGGACGGCTACTACCCAACACCGTGGGCCCCCTCGGCGAGACCAGCACGCCAGCTTGATGCCACAACATGCCATACCTCCTCGCTCTTCCAGGTCTGCTGCTAGTTGAAACTCCGCATCTTCTGCGTCCGCATAGGCCTTGCTCTGCGATACAGTAGGACCACCACCGCCAATAACGTTGATAGTGATCGAAAAATTTGCGAAGCAAGCGCCAACTCGGTGCTGGGCACGAGGATCACACTCTCCGCGCGTAAATTATGGATACAGTCGAGACCCTTCTACTTTGCGCTTCTGTCGTGGACAATAAAGTCCTATTGGTTGCGTTTCGAGATGCCACTTGCCATACCAGGTGTGTATCCTCGAGCCTGCAGGCGACCGCAAAATATCGGCACACGCTCGGTGAATCGGCTTAGCGGAGCGACAAACGTCGGGGGGCGGCGTAAGCGTGGAGAGTAATCTTGGAGGTCTTGATACTTGAAGAAAATCTTCGAGTATGCGCTCGTGGCATCGGCACTCGCTACGCTGATATAATAGGTCACTAAATCGACAACACGTCCCTCGCGCAGTAGACTAGTGATGCTCCCTGTCTTGCGTCGGAACGTCGGTGGGTATGGTACACTCGGCTCATGCTGAGCAAATGATGACGTGTGCCACATATCACTCATCTGTACCTGTTCCTCTAGCACGGACGCTTCTAGCCGCAGGGCTAGTTGCCCTTTGTTCCCTGTGGTGGCTAGGTCTCGCGCCTCGAGATGGCTCCGCAGCTCTTGCCTTGTCAGAGTTTTCGTGTCGACATCTCTCAGTTCCTAGGACGGTGTCAGTGGGACAAGGCAGTACACTATTGTAGTGGGCTGGAATGAACCCCAAGTGCCAGGAATTGCTTGCGATACTTCAGGGGAGGCAGAAGACGAATGTTGATGTTGACGTATTTTGAAATCAAACGCAAGAGCACCAGAAATTGCACACCAGACACACCAGACCAGTAGGAAGGCACCGCGAAAAACAGCAGTCGTTGATTCTCGAACAGGGCGGCAGTAGAGGCTGCTCAAAACATGCATTTCACGCGTCTACCTTCACACGCCTCCTTTGAAATCAAGATAAAATTCCCAAAATTCTAAATTCTCCTCAAAAGAGCCAAAACGGAAGGCGCTCAAACAAGGCCAATTTTGAGTGTCAGGTGTCGCATTCTATTGTCATCAGTAAAGGGTATAATGAAGATGCGTCGTGCGTGCTGGCACGTTAAGGTTCGCTACTGGAGCTTTAATATCGAAGGTCACAGCAGCCTCTGAAAACAGTCCAAAATCTGCGGCGCACCAAGCGGCATCCAACATTTGTCCAGCCGTGCTCGCCGCCACTGACCCCAATCTCCCGAACTGCACGTTTCCAGCAGTTGCTGATGCAACTAGCTATTGCCGACGACCCGTGGTTGAGGGGTTTACGGTCCATGGCGGTGAGCACGGCTGTGACAAATGTTGGATGCCGCTTGGTTCCGCCGCAGGTTTCGGACAGTTTTCAGAGGCTGCTGCGACCATCGATATGTCAGCTCAAGTGGCAAACCTCAACGTGCCAGCACGCACGACGCCTCTTCATGGTGCCCTCTACTGATGACAATAGAACGCGACCCCTAACCCTGGCGGAAAGCTTGCTTTCTTCATTCGCATAGAATTAAAGAATGCGAAAAAGAGCCAGCGTCACAACCCCTTCTCTGCACCCCCTTAACCCTCCTACATGTACCCAGTTCCTTGCAAAAAAATAATGCCGAAAAAATATCAGCCGTTGGTCGATGGGCTCAGTCCCTTCAAAGAATCTGAGCTCCGTGCCAGACGAAGGATGACTTGGCTTCAGTATGAAAAGTGTCCCCAAAACACGTGCGGACATTTTTGATACTGAAGCCAAGTCAGCAAATTTTTCCAGTACCAGGCGATGTACAGTTTTACGACCCAGGGGGCACGCGGGTTGGGAGATGGTACAGAAAGTCAGAGAGGCCCAGGAGAGGCGTCACACAGCGTATTACACAGCGTAGCACCTCAGCGAAGCATGGCAGACCAAGGGTTTTCACGTGCCTTGCGCACAGCGGAGCCTAGGGTGACTACAGTGCGGTAAATAGGCCTTTGAGTGCTGTGTCCCAAAGTGTCCACAAAGTGTCCCCATTTGGGCTTCCAGTACTAGACTAATAGGAGGGTTAAACGCAAGTTACTGATTCAGTGCCGAGTCGGTGCATAACACAGACTAGAGTACTACAAGTACCGAAGTGAGCAGTGTATTGCTAAATGAACACATACATGTTCACTGGCATTTCTCTGTTGAGCCAAGATCCTGCATTCTCTGGTCGACTATGAATACCCTTCCGCCGGTGTACAGCAGTAGTCGAGATGCCCCAACGTATGACCGTCGGCCGTGGCAGGGCACATGATGAGCTCCAAGTGCTGCGCTGCACGTGCACAGGACGCCCGGAACTGTATGATGCGTCTCGCATGCACTCATCATGCAGTGGAACTTCGTCTTGCAAGAGTCTCGGTGGCAATGTTCATGCACAAAACTTGTACTTGTATTCAGTAGATGAAGTAAGTGGGCTTTGTTCTTCTCTGTGTGCTGAATCGGAACAGTCCGCGTCGTACCTTGTACGTTCCCCATCCGTAGTCGCCATCCTTTTGGGCGGCTGGTTCCACTGCCCGGGTCTTGGCTCTGAGGGTGTTGACTAAGCCCAGCGCTGTCATGACTACCAAAAAACCACCGCAGCACCTTACGTTGTACACCACAGTCTCGAAGCTATCGTGCGGTGTGCGTTAGGGGATCGATCGGCAAAGTCTCGCCGCCGACAAAGACCTCAAGTCATTCAACGTCAACGCCGAAGGCCGAGGTGGGCAGTTCCCGAATGATATAAACCACAGCTCATCCCAACACGTATTTCAAGCGCTAAGAACTCCACGGCGACAGCATGCGCACGGCAGAGCAGATAGCTCGGCCAGGGTCTGTTCCCTGTCGCGTTTTTCTCTCCTTTTTCCTCACAGGGAGAAGCGGCGGTATTCGAGGCGGACGAAACGATGTCGAACGGATCGGGAAAAAGGTACGGCTTGGTAAATCACGCCGCGCTGCGAGCGAGCCTTCTCTCTTCTCTCCCTCTCTCACCTCTCCCTCGCACATACTTGGTGAGTGAGTGTGCGTGAAATGAAAATGGAAGCTGTGTTATCACCCAAGCTCCTACGGATATCTATGGCATTGGGTAATTCAGAACGCTCTAGCACTTCAGCTGTCATCTGTCCCGCAGGCCCGCAGGTGCAGTCCAGCGCCTGTGTGTGCCGGTTCACCAACGTTGTCCCCCCTGGGAGGAACCACGCCTCCCGGAGTGCCTTGAGCACCGCTAGAGTCTGGCCTACAGTCTGGTGTAGTCTAGCCAGTAGCAGCCGCTCGGCGGCCCGCCGCACATGTCTACCCAGGTGCAAGGTGTGCACCGTTGTGTACGAGTGCACCAGACTAAGGTGGTGGCGATTGCTCCACTGCTGCACTACTAGATGGCGGCTTTTCGACGGCGATCAGTGTACAAATATGCCGAGGCGGCGACCGTCCGCAGGCATCCTGAGACACAGCACCCTCCTGATGGCTACTGCTTGATAGAGGCAGACCTGCATCGTGCAACAACATCCTTGGAGGTATGCATACGTGTGCACATGTATATGATGATGCCTAATACGATGTTTTGCGGTGAAATCAGCGGTCCGAGGCTACGGCATGATCACATCTTGCCACGCTTCATCTTGATGTCGTAGCTGTAGTCTACTTGTCTGTTTGTTTTAGGGTTGGAGGGCTCAGATACCGCACCATGAATGATCTATTACTGCTGTTGTAGATTTCGCCCCCCTGATCTAAACAGCAGCACGAGTCTTCGCGCAACCCTTCAACGCAGAGAGTGCAGACATAGACTAGAGACGTCTCGCTCTATTTATTTGCGTCGAACTTGACAACACTGCCGCCACACATGCCGAACTGTACCTTCTTCCATAGCATCAGGTCGGACTCTAATGGAAGCTTGTTCTATTGGACGAGGCTAGTGATCGGGTTGGTGCAGAAGAATGTACTCAAAGCGGCTATCGGGCATCTTGCACAGACTACACGTAGATTGGCTCCGGAGCACAATACAAGAGAGCGAACTTGCGGCGGCCCGTTCATTTTGTGGTCCCTCATGTACCTGGTAGTTGTTGCTCCGGTCCAAAATCGTGTTCGCGATTTCGTCCAACATGTGGGCTACTGCTGTGTACACAGTCTTATCGTGAAACGATAGTCTACATTCATGCCGCTCGTTTCCTTGAAGGTGGCGAGCTTTCCCTTCTTGGCCCAACTCAAGCTCCGCTCGGCGATAAACCTCTCGGCCGAACCCCTGCATGACAAGGTCAACGGCTTCTTCCTCGCCGAGGGTGTCAACATGGTGAGCTCTCTTCATCCACATACGCCGCGCACTAAGAAACATCTTGAATATTTCCCTCCGATAAAAACGGTTGCATTCTAGCAGGAGGGAAGGGATTGTTGAAGCATTCTCGCTGTAGAACAGCAAAAAAGACAGGAAATTCAGGGGAAATTCGGGACTCGACGAAAGAAAAAACTCTCGTGTTGTGTTTGACCCCGCTGATACACGCAAGTGTGCATAGGTCCAATATATACCGAATGCATGTGTCTAGAATAAGTTGGCCCCGGCGAAGATGGGAGGGAAACAAACACACACAAGTGCACCCACGGATGCATATGCATATCGCGAGTCAATCGGTCGTGTACTGGGGAGTCACGATCGGAGTGACTGCGACACTCCCTCGTTCTTCACCATGACCAGTGCCTGAACTGTTCTTCAATACGGGATGGTTCGCGATATCGTGTAACCACTGTACCAGTACCGATGGCAGGCGAGCATTCCTCCCAAGTCGCCACAAGTATTGTGTAGGAAAAAAAATCTGCATAAGATGCGTTTAGCAGTGATCCTCCCAGGATTGTGCACAGGAGACAGAGACTCTCTGACTCATCGCTACTTCGCTGGCAAGTAGTTGGCAGCAGCTATGTGCATTCAATCGACTGGTGCCTTTGCCAAGGCCACCATGCATAGAACAGGCAGCAGCAAGGAGGCTAGAGTTGGACGGGTTGACAGTTCCCACATAGCGGTTTGCCCTACTCACTGATGTTTTGATATATTGCATTCTTGATGGGGTTACTCGCTGCGGGGTTCACGATCGTGACATCTACGAGGACGCGCCTTTCTACGCCTAACGGCTTTCTGCACCACCAAAATTCGGAAACTTCTTGCCTTCGAGCTACATGGAGCTCATTCCCCATCAGTGCGAAACCCGGGACATCTTCAGCACCCTTAGTACTGGAAGCCCAAATGGGGACACTTTGGGGACACAGCACCCAAATGCCTATTTACCGCACCATGGCCGCCACTACTACCATTCTCCACTGCGTGAAACGTCCGTGAGAACCTTGGTCTACATAGCACGCTTGTGTGAGGTGGTAAAGATATACTGCTGCGTGATGCCTGTGTACCTCTCCTGAGCCTCTGACTTGCTGTACACAATCTCCGAAGCGGAGGGTCCCCTTGTCGGTAAAACTGCTGTACATATCCTAGCACTGAAGTTTTGCTGACTTGGCAATACCATAGATTGTGTCCCCAGTGCATTCGGGGACTCTTTCCATACTGAAGCCATGTCAGCCTTCGGCCCTCGGGACTGTACAACCTCTCCCAATGAGCGGACGCGATTTTTTCGAGACACATCACCTGTATCTCGCCGGGCACTAGGAGGGTTAAACGCCGTGGATGAATTATCGATCGAATCCCACCACAGTTGGGATTTCAGAATTTGGAATGGCAAGTGGAAAATACTGCAGTAGCCATGATGAAGAGGGGATAGGAGGAGGAAGGGAGAGCTCAAAGGGGGTGTTGACGAGGAAAGAGGAAACAGTGCTGGCAAAAGGATGATGGTGGCATGGAAGTATTTTTGTGGTAGTAACGACAGAGGAGGAAATGGGACAAAAAGCATCGGGTGGAAATTACGACGGAGAAAAAAGATACGACACGGACGAGAGCAAGAGTTTTGGCCCAGCTGATCTCCCGCACAACAATCGCTGGAGGCTCAGAAATATGTCCAAAAAGTGGTGGGAGAAACGTGTGGGAGAGTGGCGCACACAATGAAGAACCTACAGTATACAACAATGTGCCAACGGGCCCGAAATGAACACGAGCACAAAACAAAGCATGGTAGACACACGCAGTATTTCTCGTTTTCGAGTTTGTCGTTTCTGCCTTTAGCTCGGAGAGCAGCGTAGCCTCCCCCTTGACGCCCCCTCACGGGGTACCAGATCATGGCCTTCGGCCCTTTCGTACGCTGTGGGTTTTCACCATATTTCTCCCGGCAAGGATCCGCGAGGGGAAAATATCGAAATATGAGCATCAGAGCGATCTCCTTACGGCCCCTCGAGGCCTATTTTGCTTTCAGCGGAAAAAAAGGTCGATCTATGTGTGTTGGGGTCAATACATGTTTCAGTTCACGTTTTCGGCTCGTGTGCGACAAACACGATGCATAGCGCCCTGTTTTTGGGTCGCCTGCAAAGGTCAGGGCATGCGTGCGACCTCACGCACACCAGGGAGTACTGTTTGTGAATATTATCGGCCTAAGGCCTCCGTCTGGCATATGCTTTTGACTGGTCACAGTCGGAGCAACCAGAAAAACGAAGGTAAAATGTGCAAAAAGTGAACATCGAAACCCACTTCGGTTGACGTTTGCAGGCCGTGTCCAATCGAAAGTGGACAACTACACCCTGTTTTGAGACGCCCACACAGGGTATGTGTATGACCGCACGCCATTGGTTGATGTTTGTTGATGTCGTCTACCTTAGGCCCCTCTCTGGCGTCCGTTTCGGACAGGTCCTACCTCCAGCAGGCACAATAACGGCTCTTTTTGCCCGAACCGCAAGAACGTTAGCAGAGCAACGTTGCAGGTTGATGTTTTCGGCTCTTGTGCGGCCAACAAGCTTGGGTTTTCGATACCTGCAGAGGGTTTTGTGTACGACCTCACGATATTGGCCTCTGTTTGGGCAAAATGAATGGTGTACTTCCTCGTTCTGGCACAATTGAGGGTGTAAACGCGCTCCATCATCCTCACGTGAAAATATCCACCTATCCAGTTAAGAAATGTTCTCATTTTCTTACTCGCCGGCTGGGATCCTTTGAAGCATTCGGGCTTTAAGGAAGTGGGCGTTAGTTTTTTTTTCTCCTCGCAAACAGTCTACATTTTTTCAGGTTTTTCGAAAATGCCCCCCGCCCCAAAGCAATCTAACCGAGAACACCACAGCGAAAGAAGCGTCCTTCAAAAGTGTTTTCTGAATGCACTGAGACTGACTTCTTTTCAATTGTCAGCTGTCTGCGCGGTCGATGCTAGCAATATTAACAAACGCACACAAAGAGTGACGTCTTCTGGTTAGTCACCCGGTTTGCGCGGTCGGTGCTATTAGTGAAACACACACACACGGAGGCTGACGCATTTTCATTGGTCGGCCGGTTGGCGCGGTCGATGCTAGCAAACACACACACACACACATGCGAGCGCGCGCGCATCCCCCGGCCGGTGCTGCTTTTCAAGCCCTTACAGGATGGTCTGGGCAAGTTCAGTCGTGCCAAAGCACGACTTTAACTGGCTCATTTCGCATTAGCCTAAGCACCATGTTTCATCTGTTACAGACCGACGTCCCTCCACGACCCCTCTTGTCACCCTTACCTTCACTGCGTGTGCGCACGAAGGTATGGACCATAGATATTTTGTGCAGCGAACTTCCTGGTTGTCTGCTACGACCCATCGATCAAACATTTTTGGTGCAGACTGGTACAGCATCCCGTCGACCTCTGGTTGGTGTGAAATCTAGCTGTATTGACATGATGCTGAAAGCAAGACCTTGTTCCTAGAATTTCCAAATTGGTACTTCACTCGACTTCGCGATGCCTGTGTTATGTTTTTTTGGAGAGGTTCACTTCCGTATCCGCCATGCGAAGTGTTATCGTGGTGGGCGTGGATGGTGCATGTATGCCTCTGTGAAGCGTACCTTTTCGAAAGGCCAAAGTGCATCTTGCACAAACAGCAAGTGGATAGATTTTCTGCTTACCAGCAGCTATTACTTTACATCGTGTACAGTAGGATATGGCCGTGCAGACACTAGCAAGGTAAATGGTGTTATGCGAGAAATGCAACAGGTGACAATTGCTGTTTCTCTCGCTTTGTTATGCAAATAGGGAACGATCCATGCTGTGCTTAATGGCAGGTCGCCTGATTCGCATCAGACGAAGTCAGGTCAGGATAGGTTAGGTTAGGTATATTCTGACCAGCCTGGGGCACAGAGGATATCAATACGTCGACGCTCTCGTTCTGCTGTCCAACGTCGTTCATCCACACTCCTCTGTGTTCCCGGTGACAGTTACACCCGCAATCTTTGGAGTTGTTCGACGGGCCGTACGACTTGTGGGAGGAAGCCGCGAAAGAATCGCTAGAGCTGTTGCTGGACGCCGGTAACCACCCGATGATCCTTATCGACAGGTACCATACCCCGTCCACACCTACGTCTTCATCAGTTGCATCCCTCTCCTCAGTGCTTGGTCGTCGACCATGTGATGTGGTAGATGATGCCAGAAGAGAAGTCTAATATTGGCATAGACCACTTCGAGAAGGTTCTTGTATGCCTTCATGGTCGAGCGTGAGCTCGTCGACCGGGAAGAAGAATGCACACACGCCTTACCGAAGCTTGCTCCCGACGCTTTGCTGGTGCCATGCCTTCCAAATGGTCGAGCAGCCCAACTGAGTGCGAGTCGGCATGCCTGGTGGGCTGTCTCCGCCGCCTGCAGCACTGGAGCATGGTGGCCATCCATGACGAGGCAAGCAAGTGGTGATACTCTTTTCTTCATGTGTTCACCGCATGTAACACACGACTAGGCGCCTGAGACCACCACTGCAGGAGCAGATGCGATGGAGCTAGCTAGCTCCGTGACGAAGGAAATGTCCGTCAACGATTTCGTTCTTGCGTCCGGAGCTTCGTATCACGGTGGTCTTTGAAAAGCTCGAGATTTTGACCGTCGCAGTTCTCGGCATAGTATTCTGGCCCGATCAGTTTACTTTGCCTATACCTTCCCCTCATTCAGGACCAAAATCCAGTTTGAATTATGCTCAATTTGAAACTCCCATCAATCCTTGCTCTCCCCAGTACCACATGATGACCATGCGGAATACGAGATACAGCACGAGCCAGAGATTCATCGAGAGGTTCGACCTGGACATCGTCACCCTCAAGGCGAAAGCGAACCTGCCGCCCTGGTACAGGAACCACCTCGACATGCTGGTGAGAACCGTCTTCCTGTTGTCGAGCTGTGCGGCAATTCCCGCGGACTTTCATGTGCGATTTTGTTTTTTTGGTGGAAGCGCATCGTTGTTTCATTCTGAAGGTTTTCCGTGGCGATGCACCCGCGTACCTCTCAGGCCAAATTCTTGGTTTGAAGGTGGTGCCAGGGACTGCTCAGCCGTTCCCTTGTTCAAAAAATGAAATAAAGCAAGGCGGGAAGAAAATGTGGACAACTGATCCTTGGTGAGCCCAGCTGTTGCGTTGAACACGTACCAAAGAGTGTATACTTGGCGCCCAGAATAACATCCGACAAGAAAAAACGAATTGGTGCATTGCACTTTTGTTGGGGAACATTTTCCTGTTCGCCTCTGGTGTCACGCATGGTTGCTTGCCATCGCAGGAAGAGGAGAGAACAGCCGAAGCAGAACTGGCTCGTCGAGACCCAGATCGGTCCGCGCGGGCGTGGACGTACGGCGTCTTGCCCACCCCTCTATCACCCGAAAAGAGAGGGGGAGAAAACGAAGGCTCGGAGAGAAATACGTCGAATAAAGTGCCGACGGATCCGCGCCAGCCTATTTCACAGGCCAATCAGAGTGAGAACATCGTTTCGCACGAGAGGGGACGGCCACTATCCGACCAATCAATGGTCGACGACGGTCAAGGTTCCCTTCAGGCTGTCGGCGGGTCACGCACGGAAGTCGTAGAAGAAGCAGATGCGGCGAGATCTGGACAGTCGGCACATGGGGGTAACGAGGAGGAGACAATTGAAGGACGGGCAAGTGGAAGGAGACCAGCAGGAGCCGGGGGAGGGGAGGGGGACGGGGGAGAGAGCGGAGGCGGAGATGAAGAGGAGGGGGCAAGAGCGGGGGTGCAGGTGGCGGGGAAGGTGGTACCGGACTTTCGACTGAACGGTTTCGTTTACGTGTGCCCGCTGGTGTCGGGGGGGTGCACATTCACCGCGAAGGCCTGGCTGCAGGACGAGGACGACTGACATGAGGTGTCTTTCGGGGTCCTGGCTACTGTAGAAGTGTACGTTTTGTTTTGGTTGAGGCCTCTCTGATGTGTACCAGATTGGCTGGTTCATGACCGTTGCCCCGGCACGATCAGCGTTTCCAGCTCGAAAAACGTTCAATCGACAAAAAGTATGCTGTTGTACCGATTGAGTCCACATCTATTTGCGGTCTCGCAAGGTTCGTTATTATTGATGGAGAGGTGCGCCATGGTTTTGTTCGGGACGGTACGAGCTACGACGTAGGCGACTGGCAAGGATGAGCTGCGTCAACAGGGCACGTGGATTCAAATACATGAACGCCCCCCCTTCTCCCCCCAGAGACATCAACGGCAGACGTTGGGAACGTAGAACTAGAAAAGGAGTTCACTGAGGACGAGGTTGAGGCGTGTGTGAACAAGCTGCAGTGCCACAAAGCAGCAGGAGCGGATGGGATAGTCAACGAGTTCATGAAGTTTGGGGGCAAGGGGATGATCCAGCTGATGGTATTGCTGTACAATTGGGTGTGGAAAAACGAGTATACGCCGAGTAGATGGAGGGAAGGAGTGGTTGTGAACTTGTTTAAGCAAGGAGACAAGACTGACCCAGGAAACTACAGGGGGATCACACTGTTGAACACAGTAGGAAAAGTGTTCTGTAAGCTGCTAAACGATCGGAAAGTGGGAGTACTGGAGAAGGAACATAAGATTAAGACTCACGCGCGCCGTTCCCCACGCTCTTCTTCTCCCCAAGAAAGAAAATAAGTTTGCTTGGTTGAGTGGTGCTGTCAACTATCTATCATCCAAGGTGCCAGGAGCATCTAGCGGGGGTGTTGTTACCGCAGAGAAACAGCCTGTCAAGACTTCAAGCAAGCAAAGTCTCAGCTGCTCAGGAGGCTGCGGTCAGCAGCAGCAGCTAGCTAGCTGCAGCAGCAGCAAGCAGCAGCAGCAGCAAGCAGCAGCAACAAAACCCCTCACATACAGCTGCATCCCAAACCGCATTAGTAGCTGCGCAGAGGAGATGGCGCCGATAGAGAGTAACAGAAGGTAACTTTTGGGCCACCTCCCAGCAGTTCGAGTGGCCTACAGCTCATGGCATGGGTTTACGAGGATACCACTAGACCACCGGGTATGGGTGGTCTAGCGGTATCCTTGTAAACCGCTAGTCGCAGAGGTCGTGAGTTCGAATCCCTTCGGGGTGAAATATTTGCAAGCTTTGCGGGTGAAGCGAAACAAAGCTGAAAAGCTCTCGTGAGTACCAAACTTCGACGTTAGCACCGTTGACGAGGGAATGGGACGGCTGGACCCTTCCCGCGACAAAAATGAAATTCAGCACGCACCGCAGGAGGAAGGTGGGGCATGAAAATAAAAAAAAAATGAAGAGAAAAGCCCTGGTGTTTACCCCCTCTTGTGTGACCCTGGATGGTTGTAGATGTACGAAAAACGGCAATGCTAAATACGACACCGGTGTCGTAAATCCTTAACTACGACACCATCCGGATCTCAGCTCAGAGGGCTCCAAATGACGTCAGACTAGGTTTGTTGGAACGCCACGGCTCTTAGCGATCACGCAAGCTTTGCTTCAACTTCAGGGGCCACGCGGTTGGGAAGATATCATCGAGAAACGTGGTTCCGCAACATCACGGCCCGGGCCCCTAGAAGTAGGCTGCCATTTCTCAGCCCACAGGCTTCCAATGAGGGTCAAATCAGGTTCGTTGCAACGCCACTGTCCTAGGCTATCACACAAGCTATGTGTCAACCCAATCGGCTACGTGGATGCGGAGATATTCGTGAAACGGGGGTCCCGCAGCATCATAGGCAGGATCCCCTCACGTATCCGATCATATCTCAGCTAGCAGGGCTCTAACAAACGTCTAAGTTGTTTCGTTATAATACCATCGCCCGTAGCTACCACTCAAGCTCTTGTTCAGCGCAATCCGCTACGTGGTTGCGGATATATCGTCGGAAATGGGGGTTCCGCAGCATCACAGGGAGGGTCCCCTCAGGTATCAGGCCATATCTCAGCCCACAGTTTCAAGGAGTGATGCCGTAAGCGGTGGCTTGATATTGATGAAGGTTCTGTCGTTGACACGCTTGTCCACGACCAAGTTGAGATGAGAAAGTTGCTTGCTATTGCTGAGAGACGATCCGCAAAGGTCTGGGATGAAGTGGGGATCCAACTTCATCTCAGGGGGTACACAGAGTAAACAATTCTAAGGGGGTAGGGGTCAGAAGGGTATACCTCCTGACCGACCCGCATCCTATCAAGAATAAGATGTACCCTATTCATGCTAGCAGCCACACTCCTTAACACTAGCCCACCCTGAATATCATATATATATGCAGATTCTATTATTTTTTTTTTTTTGCCTATTCTATACTCAAATCAATGCTCAAATCCTAGTCCAAAGCATAATTAAGATTGAAGCTGATGATTTATGATCATGAATCGAAGATATGACTCTTCACAAAACATCCAAAAGGAGGGTGAGTTGTAGAAATATCCCGAATCGATCCCCCACACCATCATTGAGATGAAGAATGCGAACGGTCACGAGACGGAAATCGACATCTCAATGACAACGCTTGAAGGGATAAAGCTACGAAGAATGTATATTGCGGCAGAGCACGCTATCATCCTGAACAGACGACGGAAAAAAAAAAAAACAGACGCCACTAACCACTCTTTTCTGCGCACCCGCGCGTATCACCGCTGGAGGAATGAGGGTGACTACCCGAGCGAGTTCAAACTATGGTGACGAAACTCAAAACCCAAAGAATAAGATGTACCCTGTTCATGCTAGCAGCCACACTCCTCAACACTCATAACTAGCATAGTTATTGCCGATTTTGCCGAAAGTCGAAGGGGAAAAGGTATCTGCTGTTTGCGTTAATAGTGACGGCGCCAATTCAGGGTGAAGAAGGAAGCTGGCCTCCATGGAGTGCAGCATCAAATAGGGTTAACNCAACTCGTATAAAAGGAGATGGCAGGGGCAAGACCTATTGAGGACCAAGGATGCAAAGCACAAGCGATTAATGCAAGAGAGGCGGTCGACGAACTGTGCCATGGCTCGCTGGTGATACGCATCATTCAAATACATAAAACACAGAAAGTCGTAGAGATGCACACAACAAGACGACGACTCAGGGGCGCTACTGTGATGAAGGCGTCGCCCGAACGTGGCGATGATGGAGACGAAGCAGAACGAAGTGTGGGTGACGACGAAAATCCATGGGAGAAGGCGACTTCACGGGATGGAATCCCGATTGACCAAGCGTATGCGACACTTCTGCGGTACAATGGAACTAAAACAAAAAAAAATTTACGACAAAATTAGTTGGCAAACAGGCGAACCAGGAAACGCGGGGAACTCGGTGGCCAAGTGTCCCGAGGCAAACATCACCGACGAAACTTGGGGGACTCGTTTTCCAAGTGTTCAGAGGCAGACAACACCGACGAAACTTCGGAGGGAGCTTGTTGAGAGAACCAAAGACCAACAACAACAAAAAAAAATTGAAGCAAAGGCGAGAGAGAACGGACATCCAGGTCGCGGCAGTTCACTGATTCAGATGAATGCAGGCAACAAGGAAGAAGGATCACTCGACACTGCGTGTCTTGAGGCGGCGTTGCCCCAGCGTCCAAAACAAAAATAAGCTAACGAGAGAAAGGAGACAAGACAGAAAAACAAAACAAAATAAAACAGAACGGAAGGTGACAGAAAAGAAAAACAAAAGCAAAACGTCGGCGAGAAGGATGGCGGCACAAAAGACCAAAATAGGCCGATTGGTATATGAAAACGACGACGCCAAGAAGAAACGGCGGGAACAGCCGACGGTAAGGAGTCAGCAAGGAGCGGAGTGCGACCACGGTTGTCGCCCAGAGGGCGCGAACGATGTTTCTCTAAACACCATGATCCACAGACGGCGTCCAAGGCGGTGGAGTAGAGATGCGCAGGCAGAGGCAGAACGCTTGGGCCCGGTTCATCCAAACATCGAACGATGTACGAGCCGCCCTGATGAGCACCAATGCGTTCGGTCCACCACAATCCATCACGGGCCTTGTACCACAGCCGCGCGCCAACNGTGAACGATGTTTCTATAAACACCATGATCCACAGACGGCGTCCAAGGCGGTGGAGTAGAGATGCGCAGGCAGAGGCAGAACGCTTGGGCCCGGTTCATCCAAACATCGAACGATGTACGAGCCGCCCTGATGAGCACCAATGCGTTCGGTCCACCACAATCCATCACGGGCCTTGTACCACAGCCGCGCGCCAACAGGGAGGGGCGAAGTGCTGAAACGGCGAAGCCAAGTCGCATTAAGCACAAGATCAGCCCCAGGAGGTAAATAGCATTCTCCACGATTCCGGGCTAGCTCCCGCTGTGCCGCGCGAGTCCGAGCCACTCGATATGTACGGTTACCCTGCTTGCTTTGGCAGGCCTCCCGGGACCAGTACAAGAGGATGTGTCGACGGAATAGATCAAGGTCGGATTCCCGTTCCCATGAAGGAGTAGTCAGGCCTACCCAATGCGTCTGGTACAGGACAGCGAGAACGCCGCTACGGCCCCGCACCAGTTGATGTCCCGAGATGTAGTCAACCTCGAGGCGCCCGACAGGCACCGACACATCGTCCGCGGTGACGTGGAAAGGTGGACATTTATCTCTGAAAGAGTGCACAACATAACGCGAAAGCTCGGCGGGCAGAGATTGCGGCAAGTCGCCCGTCTCGTACGGATTNGAAAGAGTGCAGAACATAACGCGAAAGCTCGGCGGGCAGAGATTGCGGCAAGTCGTCCGTCTCGTACGGATTGCGACAGGGCTTGCAACGAAGGACAGACACGCGACAACGAGCTGCCGGGCCGGAAAGATCGGAAGGCAGGTCCAGGTAGAGGAGTTTATGCGCCAACGGGCGGCCGTCCGGAGTGGCGTCGGCAGAGGTGGGACCCACCGCAAGAACTTTGTAGGGCCCCGTCCAGAAAGTGCGAGTTTGGCCTTGAGCACCTGTTGGTGCATGTCCTTCTGCACACCCTGTCGAATTGCAGCAGCCGTGTTGTAGACCCAAGCCCACCCGCCAACGGTAAACTGAGGGAGCTTGTGGATGGCGTCCAGCAGGGATGAATTTCGGCGTTCGACTCGCGAAATCTTCAGCGCGTTGTACTCACGGACAAGTTCGTAGGCCCGGCGCTGGCGATCGACAGCCAGGTTGCAATACTCGAGTTGATCGCGGGCCAAGCTTTGATGACCACCTACCGTGGGATGATCGAAGACCGAAAGCGGGAGTCGCGGGATGCGTCCGATGTGGATCTCGTTTGGCGCTAATCCAGTAGACTGGTTCACGGAATTGTTGTAGGCAAACTCAACGTGCGGGAGCTGTAT